TCAGCTTCAGCCTCCTGAGGAATACTTTCAGTCTGCTCAGCAAGTCTGATGAAAGAAATTGTTATGATTTACCATTTTAAAAAGTTTTATAAATGGATCATTTCTCATTTTACCTCATCATAGTGTCATAAGTGAAATCAAATATTATCTTTAGGACCTGAGAATTCTGTTAAGCACTTTACACTTCTATTGTAACTCCAAAATATTAAGAAATATTTTGAAAGAGTTTGTTACTCAGAACTCTATTAGTTTTAGGATTAGTTAAGAAAGACACAGAGCTGGAAAGAAAACTTTCTGTATGCTAATTATCTCTATAAATTTACCCAAACTGTTCTTTTAAATAGTAAATTGGCCATTATATTCACCTGTGCTCATATATGCTCATGTGCTTACTTACAGTGCATGTATTTTTGCATGATATTTATTTAATATAAAAATCATTACTTTGTGCTAAATACATATTATCAAATGACTCAGGTCATAATACTTTAGTTTATGTTCTTACAAATAATGGGCTGGTGAGATTGCTTTGGGTAAGAGCATTTGTATTTCTGATGACCTCAATTGGAACCCAGGACCCACAGGGGAGAAAAGGAACAACTCCTAAATGCTGTCCACTCAAGTCTTCAATGCTCTGTGGCTTGTATGTACCTATGTGTGCACTAAAATAATTAAAGAAGTTTGTGTTTTTTAATAATAAAACCTTTTCTAATGTGTCAATATGATTGAAGTCTTTAGAACTCTTTCTAGTAACTGTTTAACAAGATAAGCATAGTGAATAAACTTCCACTCTCACCTGCAGTGTATTTTGTTGTTATTGAACTGTATGGTACTTTCGGAAACTCTTATATTCTTTTAAGCTAATCTTAATTGATCTTTGAATGACATAATCAGGGTCTGTTCTCATAATTATACCACTTAAAAAGACCATTTAACATTCCCAACTCCTTGTTCCTGTCTGTATTAGTGAAGGCTTTCCAGAGGAACAGAACAGATATAATGAGGTTATTTTAAATCGTGATTTTTTAGATTGACTTACAAAATATTGTTTAGGCATCTCAAAATGTTTATCCCACACTGAAAGAAGATGAGAATCTTGTACTTTCTCAGTACAAGAGGCTGGGTAAATCAGCAATACCAGCCTGGTGCTGAACACCTGGAGGATTCCTGGTTTTCAGTCCATGTTGGAAACTGGAAGAAGTTGGGTTCTGATAACAACGAAGGGATGTGACATCCATGCAATAGATGAATTTGCAGTGGAAATGGAAGGAAGCAGGCAAAAATCAAACCTTCCTTCTTTGAATTTTGTTATGAATTGCTCTGGAAAATGCCTCTCTTTTTTAGGTAGTTCTTCCTACTTCAAATAATTTAAATAAAAAAGTCCCTCACAGGGGCAACAATTATTTGTCTTTTAGTTGATTTTTAATCCAATTAATCTGATAATCAAAATTAAGCACAGCACTACACAATATATTCATATGTTTCTTTTTATGTAAAGAACTGAAGTTATGCTTCAAAGCATGAACGTTGGCAACTTCCTTGGTCTTTTTGCACTGGTTATGATGTGACTACTTGACATCTTCTGCTACTTTCCCCATCATTTATCAGAATCAGTGTTCAATTTCATGTTTTTCTGTCGTAGGCCTAGAAATAGAATTGCAAACTTTGGGGCATAAGATGAAACCTATTATGTTAAAGACAATGACATTTCCTTTTTCTCAAATCTATGAAAGAAAACAGATCATTTTGGTTTGTACTATTAGATGAGATTGTGCCTTAAGTTATCACCTCACATTGGACTGAAAACAATTCTTTTTCCAAGGACTATAAAATTTAGGTAGCCTATGGACTGACAAAGTGGTTGAAAAAAAATTGTATGTTTCAATCTGCTGAAAAGGCAATTTAAACATTTATTTACTGCTATGATGTAATACTAACAAAAATTAACTGAAAAAAATTGTCATGGTTGCATAAACATCATTTTGGGGGGACTGTGCCAATTAGAATTTTTAAATATTATGCCAAATATTTATTTAATGCCTATTTTATTTTAGTTGATATGCTAACTGATAAAATTACCAATTAATATCTATAAATAGCTTTATAATATTACTTTATAGTAAGGAAACAGGTATCTATTTAAAAGAATCATATTGGAAACTTCTACAAACAGGGCATAATTCTATGCCAAGTACTTTCAATGTTTAGATATCAGATAAGTACTAAAACATCTCAGTCAAGGATAGCAAGGCAAAAGTGAAATAGCATGTCATGTATACTGAGGTAATCAACAGCAGTTTGTGTTAACCAACCTACAAAAAAATGTCACATTGATAATAATATTTTTAGCTACTAAAGAGCCATAGACAGGTAGATTAGGGCAAAGGTTAAATGGGAGAAGATGAAAGTGAGATATGAAATATTTCAGAATGAATTTCAAGAAGTTTTTCAATGAAATTTGTGTTGCAAGCTATACAGCGGAGTAACCCTCAGGGCAATTTAGATGAATTAAATAAATGACATCATATGTTTGGGATTTTCATATATGTATTCCTTTTAATATATATATATATATTTATATATATATATATTCATATATAGTATCTATTGACAGACTGAAAGCAGACAATGTAAAAAAAGTATTTTTCAAGTTTATATTAAGAGTAATTGGAGAAGGCATGATGTAATCTCAACAGAGACTATAGTACAAGGAAGGAATTAGATGAAAAAAACTAAACAAATTGAATCAATAGAGTATGCCTTGTAAATCTGAATGGATGTTCCTGCCTAGATTTCATTGAAAAACTGCTCTTGGGCAGAGAATATAAATAACCTAAAGGAAATGGATGAACTAGTCCCACAGTGGCAGAATATGGGTGGTTTTGTTTGTTTGTGTGTTTATTTTGTGTGTTTTTGTTTTGGTGTGTGTGTGTGTGTGTGTGTGTGTGTGTGTGTGTGTGTGTGTGTGTATGCAAGTATGTGTTATTGTAGAAAACAACAATGGACAAGACTTTTAAAAAATGTCATTTAAAAAGAAACAAAAATACTGACAGAGTAATTCCTAAGAGAGAATAATAAAATTAACAGAAAATTATATTTTTTTAAGATAGGAGAAGGCGATTCTAATTGTCCATTATAATGTTAGGTTTATGTTTAGGAATAAGACACTTGAACAAATGTCAATGGGTTTTAGCAAAAAGGAGGTCACTGGTGATTTGGGGAAAAGCAGTTTCAGCAAGGTGCTGTGGGAAGAATACAAATTAGAGCTCGTTTAGGAATGAATTAGAGGTAAACTAGAAAAGACAAAACTCAAGCAGCTAAAGTAAGGGAGCGAGTGTGGTCCTTAAATAGAAGGGACAACTAGTGGTGACCAAGAATTCTACACTGATGCACGAGTTGTCAGGAATTCTGACGATGGACTCAAGGACTGTCACTGCAGACTGGGACTTATGCTTGCAAACACTGTTTACCAAACACAGATTGGTACCTACTTTGCATTTAGAATGATCCTCAAACCACAGCAGCCTGCTGACTCAGCAGAGTGCCTGAACTTGATGGAGGGGTTCTCTAAGTGTGTGTGCAGAGCGCAGGGCTAGACGCACAGCCATCCTTCAGCAACCATCCATGAGACACGATGAAAAGCCAGGCATATTAATCTTGGCGAGGCTACAATTTTATGCAGTGTAATTCACTTCTTCAGGCTTTTGGTTTGTAACTTCTTCCCAAAGTGCTGGGCTTATCAATGTAAAATGAAGTTAGATCATTTTGCATTTGAAATACCTCAATTTAAACACATTACTTTCCATTATACTTTATTTTTTTTTCGTTATAACTGAGCTTCCATGCATTTTTCAATAAAAAGCTCGACAAGGTAGTTTATTATATATATATATATATATATATATATATATATATATATATATATATGAATTCATTTTAATGTACACACACACACACACACACACACATATATATATAAACACACATACATACATACATGCATACTATCTTGGCCCAGACTTTTTCTTTAGTAGTATTACCATTGCTACCATAAAATCACAATTTATTCTGTTTTAAAAAATAAATTGATGTTGCTTAGTATAAAAATTGATTAATTGTGCAATTTCAGATAAGGACAATTAACTCACTATAAAATTATATAATAAGTTGCAGGAGAAGTGGCTCAGTAGTTAAGAACATTTGGTTCTCTTACAGATGCCCAGGTTTGTTTTTTATTTCCTACATGGTAGCTTAAAACTATGTGTCCCTTCAGTTCCAGGAGTTCCAAGAATCTCTTCAGCAGCCCTTGTATACCATCCATACATTTGGTGTTCATGCATTCATGCAGGAAACATACTAACACATACAAAATGAAAATAGTTATATTTTTAAACTGTTTATATATATGTATATTCAAAATAGATCTCATAATCTTCAAGTAGTAGACTGAAATTACTGTTTAGCTGTCTTTAATGTTGAAAGTGAGAATAATTTCATTCAAATATATATATATATATATATATATATATATATATATACACACACACAAACTTTTATTTCAAACAGAAATGTGAAAAATAATTTATCATGTAAACTTAGCTGATCTCTCCAAAACTATATATGTGTGTATGTATGTATGTATGTATGTTTGTATATATATGTGTGTGTGTGTGTGTGTGTGTGTGTGTGTGTGTGTGTGTGTGTGTTAAAAATAGGGGCTGGGGAGATGGCACGGCACTTGAAGTGCACTACTCCATAAGATGACCCTAGTTTGGTTTGTAGCGGCCTCATCACATGAGTCACAATCCCCTGTAAATTCAATTCCAGGAGATCGATGACACTTAACTGTAGGAGTTTCTGTACATCCATGCATACCCTCCCCCCACACGTGTATATTATACTATAAATAAGTAAATCGATGCTTGGCATATTTAGAAATGGAATTCCTAATGTAATCAGAGAGCAAATATAAAATTAATAAGATTATATTTTTTTTAAAGGTTCATTCTTAAAGATTCATCCTTCTCTCTAGTGAGAGAAAAAAAGAAACTGTGTTGGGACTCATCAAGAACAAGGCAACACAGCTGTGCACCTTCACTACTGAGAAGACTGAATGTTCTGTTCTTGAAACGCAGCAAGGTCATCACCTATCAAGCATCACACTTATGGAATCTTGGTAATAAAGTTACTAGGAATAATTTAATGAGTCATTAACATCAAAGTGTCCTAGCAGACACTACTTTGCCTTAAACACTTTGAGTACTCACCACTTGCCCCGTTGTCATGCTCTGAGCTGCTTTCTGGGTAAAGCACGGAGTCAGTAGAGTAACTCAGTCCTTCAAACACAGGCTTGGCTCTAAGCTGCTGAAGGATAGAGTTTTCATTTCACAAGCACAGCTACTTCCCGTTGATCAGTATACACGTTAGTAAGCAAAATTCTTAAGTTTGAACTATACGGGATGCGAATAATCCTCTCTCCATTAATCTAAAACAGTATAACCTTGACTGTGCAGTCATTACTTTGTCATCGTATCCCTACCCACGGTTGGCAGACTCTACAACTGATTGAATTCTTATTAACCATTTCACATATATTACAGGTGTCCCTGTATTCGTATCGCTACATGGGATCAGTGTGATTTTCTTTCCATACCACATCAAAGACTAGTCAATCATGACACAGTGGCCACTGGCAAACGCTCTGCACCAACACAAGATGACATTCCCAGGCAAACCCTCACTTGCTCACTTCAGAAATTCATTTTCTCCTCTATTGAGCTGTGAATTCTTTCACAATTTCCTCTTTGGTGATCACAAATGTCTACACCCATATTCACTGATTCCATAACCTATAAGCACGGGACCAGTTTTTATAGAAGGTTCTTTTTCACTAGATTAAAATGTCAAGTAGAAAAGAACATGGATTGAAGAGTTAGGTTAAATGTAGATGGTTTTTATGAGTTCATCTGCAACATAGCCTTCTGCTCTGATTTAAAAGTGAACCACACTTCATGGGCTCATGTGTTTGTACACTGGCTCGCTCTCTTTGAAGAAGTTGGTGGTACTGTTTTGGAAAGTTTATGAAGCCTTTGAGATATTAGCTGACATATTAAAATTAAGAAACTAGGACTCTTTGACAATATCTGTGTCTTGCTGTGATCCAAGCATTCAGCTTCTTGTTGGTACAATCTAAGAAGCGCCTGCCAACACAGACTGCTTTAGCCCAGCTTTCACGCCTTCATCATGGTGGACTGTGTCCAGTGACATGAACTAAAATAAAATTTTCTTCCTTTAAGAAGAAGGAAGAAAATAAAATTTTCTTCCTTTAAAATTTTCCTCAAGTATTTTAACTCTGCTTTTAGTCAATACGTCTTTCATGGTAAGTAAAAATTTCCCTGTTTACATGGAAAAAGAGATAGCCCAAAGTCCAGAAAAAAGAAACAACACATGAGAACAGATGACAAAGACAAGTCATAAATGAAGAAAAACTGGTTCCTCTCACTTTGAGCTCTCCGGGCACTGCATTTCGTTCCAAAGCTGGCCAGAGACAAACATGTTAGCATACTTGGAGGACAATTTTTGAGTAGTTTTATGAACGTTGTCTTCTTCAGTCACTGTTAAAAGACCATTATTTTGTTAGCAAAAATGGTTTTTAAAATATACGGTTTTTTTCCATAGAGAAAAATCACCAGAGAAGCCATAATATCTTGTGGAAGCCACCAGACTTTAAGAAGTTACATAATCTCTTAAAGCCTTAGTGCCTTGATTTCTAATAAAATATATTCTTAACCATTTTAAAACATAAAGCAAAGAAAGCCAGCCTACAAACCACAATCTCAGAAAACTTAGACAACAATGCAGACACTAAGAGAGACTTACAAAGATCTAATCTACATAGGAAGTAGAAAGTAGAAAAAGACGAAATCTCCTGAATAAATTGGGAGAATGGGGACCTTGGGGGAGGACTGAAGGGGGAAAGAGAAGAGTTTGGGAGGGGAGCAGAGAAAAATGTAGAACTCAATAAATATCAATTAAAATGTATATATATATATACATATATATATATTCTTAGTGCTATGATTTCTAATAAAATATATCCTTATAGAGGGTTGTGGCTTGAATTAAATAATGTCCTTATTTATTTTCAATCATGCACAACAGTATTCTTATAATGTTATCCAAGTAAAATTTAGAGTTAAACAAATCAAATGGAATTCAAATGAAAGAGAAACAAATAAGGAATAGTCTTTTCTCTAGTCACAGATTTAGAGCATGTGAAATTGCTGAAGAAGTTCACATGTATTGGTAACATAAAGGTGTTATCCCCCTAGGACTTTGATTTTGATGATTGTTGTTCATTTCCAAAACTGAATTAATCTTTATTAATGGAACACTCTGCCTCTTGTGAAAGTTACATAGGAAGTCAGATTGGAAGATGACTACAAAGTAAAAAGAAAAATCACTGGGTAGGCACATGCACACATACATACATACATGCATACATAAATGTATGCATGTGAATTCATATGTATACATATTCACATTTATAAAAAAAGAATTCTGCTAGACTCTGTGTGAGAATTCACAAAAGAATCAAATTATTTTAATAGATCTTGACTAAGGATACGTTATCTTTTTTAGCTTAAAAAGTACTCTGTGTCAATCTTTTTAATATGGACAAACTATCATCTATGCAACTTCTGAAACCAATATTCCATTGAATGTTTTAGAAATTTACAATTGGTAAAAAAATAAGCTCTATAATTATCATAATTTTCTAAAAAAATTTGATTTGATTATGAGATTATTGATTACCCGAAATTTCAATATGCATTTTATCTTAGAGATGTAATTCATTTTGACCAAATCTTTTGCCACATGAAGTATAATGTGTGTCCAATCTCGCTGATGACCCCAAGAACTTTCAATAAAGGAGGGTGTATTGGTTATAATGGAATGGAAATAGCTTTGCCCACTTGGCTCATAAATTAGGAAGCAAGTTAGAAACAGGGAATATCAGAAGCACATAGTCCTCTGTAAAAGGTCAAATGTTCAGACCTATCTTGACTATCCACCCGAGGAACTATTATTATAAAAGTAATCATTTGCTTTCCCTGCAAATGACAGAAGTGAATGTCTGTGGTGTTGATCAGGATTTTCCCTTGTACAGTATTCACACAAAAGAAATTAAAGCACAATATTCCATGTGTTTCTCTTCCTTTCCTAATCAAAGCAACAAATGACACATTGTCATCATCAACCTCTCTTTTCTCATTTCATACCACTTAATTAGACAACGTACACTGGGTATATTGTGTTTGCTCCCAAAGACAAAATTGAATTGTACAATGTGAACTAAACTTTCCTTACAAAAACATTGCAATGTAAATGCTAATAATGGCTTTGAGCAAAAGGACAGATGAAATTGAAAAGGTCAAAACCTATTTGGCTTCCTGTAAATGTTTGATAGCTTGTTTACTTCATTTTTTTTTAATTTCAAATGTCAAGACATTTTGCGCTTTTCATATAGATTGGAGTGCTCTTCATTATTTTTCCTGTTGTCTGTTCACTCTCAAACATTAAATATTTCCCAGTATATCAACGTGTTTATAGCAGTTAATTAAGAGGCAATACTAAACTTCGGAGCTCACAAAGATGGTGGGTGGAAACAACCACTGACCAACAGGTAATAGAGTTTTAGTGTCTTTCCATTCATTCAATGCACATGTATAGAATGTCTGTGTTCTAGAATAGAACTAAACTCCGCAAAGTTCATATGTTCCTGGGTAGATCTCCTTCTAATGTGTTCCAATGCCAATGACTTAGAGAATCATGGTCCTCTTTTCCTCGAATCTGTAAGGGATTTAAGGCAACAGAACTGGAAAGTGGTAAGGAGTCCTTTCTGCTTGTAAAAGTGGCATTATTTTGTCCTTATTGCATTAAAAGTTTATCCACAATCAAATTTTTATTTTTTTATATTATGTTTTTTTACAACTTATTTATAACCAAGCCGTGATTACAAAGCCAAAAGCTTTATTTTAACGCATAAACAATATTTTTCAGTTACTTTCCCGTGGGCCTTACTGTGATGATCATGATGCCTGTTCCAATCTTCTCTGATTGCACAATCCTTTAAAACTTCTTGTCCTTTATAATACCCGAAGGATTTTTAAAGTTTGTGTTACTACGTGTTTTCATATGTCATATCTAAGCAGAAACTTAATTATTGGGGTGAGATCTTATAATAGTCATTACTTCATTGTGTCTCCGACATAGCACATGGCATGACCCTTAACAAATAAATTACTGTGTGCTTATTTGAAATATATTCAGAAAAAATTTAGACTATAAACTAAACACACATTTGAACTCAGTGTTCTCAAATACTGCATGAGATTTAGCATAATTTAGTATCACATATTTTGTCCACAAAGATAGTTTAATTCTTTTTACATTATTCCAACGTGTTAAATACATAGCTACAGGTTCATTTTAGTATAAGTATAACATTTGATTCCCAATAGCATTGAAAAATATAAGATTAAAATATTGTTACATCAATATAAAGAGTATATTTTAAGTCCAACCCTTGAAATTTATGTCGCTGGAAACATTGATTTCCAAAGTCATATACATTGCTGTATTTGTGTTATAATGTTTCTGTGGCTTACCAAGAGAAGAATCAGCTCTAGCAAAATTATCATTTACAATTTTGTTAATCATTCGCTTTCCAACTTTTAGAGACATTACTATTCAAAATGCTAATTACTTTATATGAAATATCGGTCATTGTTGATGAAGGAAAATCATCAAGATAATTATCATCTCTTTCCAAATCTGCATGCATTTCACGATCTCCCAGGACAGTGGAAACCTCAAATTCACATTCTCTTGAGAATGGCTTTGATAATCCCTGATAACATTTGCTAGCTTGTGGAGAATGGCTCCCGGAGGAGTTCTTCATTTCACAGGCTAGATTTGTTAAATTGGATTTCGCTGATCTTAACAAGAATTAATTTTCCAAGCTGTGTTGAATATGTAAGTATTGGGTTCACATATCAAACTAGGCCTTGCTGCCAGGATGAGGTTTTCTGTTATTGTTGCTATTGTTTTAAAAGTGTACCTTAGAAACCTAAAGAGAAATATTAGGATTCATTGACGTAAATGATATATATTTTAAATGCATTTTCTTTCTCTGGCTATCACATAGAGAATCATTTTGTAATAATATGGTGTTCACTTTGTTGTAATACAGATATCCTTTTAAAGGGGAAGCTTCTTTAGCTTCCCTGAGCCTCTAAACAGACTTCAAGTATTTCCCTTGAGCAGTTAAAACCTCTGGAAACTATTCTGTGTTCCAGTAGTTTTTCTTCATTAAAAGCAACCCACAATTTAAATATGTATTTCCACAAAGAAGTCATTTATGTGTGCTTTTAGACTCAATTAGGAAGCAGATGAGAACATTGTTCCTATATTATCTCTCTTCACTACAAAGTCTGCATGCAGACAAAATTTAAGACGACCGATCTTGTAAATTTTATCATTCTTCCGAGTCACATGACCTTCCCCAAGGAACATTTATTTGATTCCTTTCAGTGTAATCCTCCTTTTCTATTAAATTTCTTTTTCTTTCTCTGTAGCAAAGTCAATAGGAAGAAGTGATGGATCTGAACATGCAGTTTCTAAAAGAAACTGAAGCAAAGTGGCTCAAAGCGAGAATTATACATCATTCATCCTTCTTTCGCTAATGTCTAAGACTGTGTTTGATGCAGAGAGAAATTCAATAAATATCTTTGTGATTGAACATACTGTACACCGAGGTCATGGACAAGGTCTCATGAAATAAAATATGGCTGTACACAATAAGAAAGGCGTTTTAGGAATATTAAAGAATCACAGCTCAAAATCTTGTCTTATGCAGCTATACTCTAAATCAACACAGAAGATCAAACCCCATATTTCTAACCACATTGCTAGATGACTTCATTCCACCAAGACAGCCCAAAACATTTATTACAATGCTTCCCTTCCCCCACTAAACAGAATCGTGTTTCCACATCAAGAGAACTAGTCTTTGATATATAATATACTGAATTTCTAAAATAACCTCATAGGAATTGAATTCAAATGTATAGTCAATGAAGGAAGAGTTATATTAAGCAATGAAATTCAAGATAATATACCATGATTGTAACCATACTTCATAAGGAATAAAAGTTGAGAATGTGTTGTAAAGGTCTGTCTTCAGATCATAGACTTGCAGGTAAAATTATAAAAAACCATCAGGTTGCTTTTCTTCAGGAGAGAGTGTGTGTAGCAACAATTGATAAAAGAATCTGGAAATTTGGGAGAACAAGAAGAAATAATGGGGAATTTGAGTGAGCGAGAAAAGGGAAATGGCATCATAATTTCAAAATATTATGAAAAAGAAAATCTTGTCGTGTTGAGTGTGTGTGTGTGTGTGTGTGTATGTATGTAAGAGTGTGTGTAAAAATACTGAAATCTGAAGCATAATTACAAAGCTTCTGTATTAGATATATAAAGAATCTACACAGTATAAATCACCAGAAATGTCACCAATATCCTCTTGGAAGTTTTGTTACGAATTTTGTTTAAAGCAAGGGAGTTCTATCTCACTGAAGGACCATTGTTCCACAGAAGGAACATGGCAGTGGCACTGATGTTGACCACATGACATTCTCCACCCACACTGCTTGAATTAGGAGCTTCATGCTGTCTTACCAGAGGGATGGATCTGAGCCTTGGTGTATCAGGCATGGAAGCCCTTCAGCTGTGTCTGTCTGACTCAGGCTTTAAAGCTTGTGGAGTATCAAGAGCTTTGGCATAGGCAGTCTCAGGTGAATATGACCCAAAACTGGGGAGAGAGAATAGATTAAAACATTACACCACTACCAACATGTATCAAATATTACTGGCTTGACAATTCCAATCATGAAATAAAATGCTATTCTATTTGTGAATTTATATTAGATACTTCATGTACAAAGACCTAAACTTAGAATGCACTTTGGAGACTAAATTCCTGAAATACACAGGTGAGCACAATCAAGAGAAAACTATTTAAGTTCCTCTCGCCTCCCTCCAGGTCCAGGAAGGTGAGTGTCCAGACAGACTGGATCCACAAAATCCAGTATATGCAGAGGAAACAAGTCCCAATGTCATTGTCAATGGCTTTTCAGAAAGACTCCGGGCCAGCCACATTCAGAGAATCCGGCCACATTCAGAGAATCTGGTTGGATTGCATCCTTGTTCAGTCCCAGTAGAACTGGCCTTGGTAAACTCTCATTAGATCTGTCCCCTTGAATTTGAACTTCCCACTGGGCAGGAAACCCTGACTGCTCTTAGGGATGGAGAGGGAGGAGGAGAGGGAGTGGGGGGAGGGGGAGGGTGGTGGGAGGAGGGGCGGAAATGGAAACTTTTATAATTTAATAAAATTACTTAAAAAAATAAAAAAATAAAATTCAATAAATGATTGGGCAAAGAAAAAAAAAGAGAAAACTATTTAACATGTCCCCCACATTAGCACGATAATAAGGAAACTGATACATACTTACATATCACATGGGAAAAAATAAAACAGGCTTCTAAGAGAGAACAATAAAATGAAAAAAACCACTTATACATTGGAATAGAACAAAACAAACAAATGGAATGAAGATTCAAAGGCCCACTCATTCACACACTCAGGAATCTCATAAAAATACTAATCTGGAAGCCATAACAAACACTCAAAAGACCAAAAAAGTAAAACAGAGAGAAAACCAATAAATAAATATAATGTAGTGTAATATAATAAAATTGATATAAGAAATTTTTAAAAAGAAAAAAAAGTTCTGAAATAATAATTGAGATATGGCACCTTCAAAGATACCTTTAGTTTGTTTTCCATTGGCCAACTACTGTTGGTCATGCAGCCTGCCCCAAGAGTACTTTGTCTGTCCAGTGAGAATCCTTTGAAGAAAAGTAAAATTTGTTTGCAAGCAGTTATCACTTGGAAGAAGCCTCTGGGAAGGGATGGGGGTATGTCCATACTTCACTTTCAGCTCTAGGACCCCATGTGTTGCAGACTTCTTCAGGCCCTGTACATGCTGTCTAGGTCTCTGTTGAGTTCATATGTGCATCAGTCCTGTTGATTAGTAGGCCTTGGCTATTATCTGAAAGAATGATTCCTGAGCTCATGTGGTTTTAAAAATCTAAGTATGAATATTTGGAACACATTAAAAAATACCAAAAATAATTTAATTTATTTTATTGATGACAGATGAGGGCACAATATCCAGAGTTAGAGAATCAAATGTTTACACCACAACCAGCTATGCTCCGGGATTTGGAATGAACACTAACAACACATCTCTTGACTCCCTTTGCCTTCTACTCCTTTTGCATCTTAGTAATAAATGTAGAATTTCGAATACGGATTCAATCCTCACTATTTACAATGAGTTCTGCTATTGCTATTTTAATATTTGAATGAATGTTTGAAATAATCCAATTTGTTTTAAAAGCCCAAAGACATAAACAGCAGATACTTACAATGCAAGGATATCACTACCTGTCTGTTGAAGTTAATGGCATAGAGGACTTAATTTAAGCACTGAGGCTTGTCAACAAGAGAATCAACATGTTCTCAGACATATACATCACTCCTGTGTCAGGAAGTTGGAATAATAAGAGGAGACAATATTAGAAGTAAGGGGCATGAAAGAATCTTTATTATGTCTCATACACTTTATACCATGACTTTTCATCTGCTAAAATAAAAAAGTCCCTCCCGCTATATTAGAAGAATAATGAATTTAGTAAAGAAAATAAAAATAAGTCAATTAAATGTCTTTCTAAGAAAGAGCTGATAAATTTTGATTGCTTTATTAGAATACAGTTATAATAAAACATAAACTGTGTACCATTTATTTTATGCTCATGTTTAGTTTCCATTTCAATATCCCATTGAAGTGTCAAACAATCTTCCTGTAAGATTACACTTTATGATACTTGTATTATTTTGATTTAACAAATTTTTGCAGTTATTCTGTGCAAGACAGAGTTCCAAAAATAAAAGTACTGCTCTCATGTTTTATATTCTAGCTTTATGAAAAACAATAAAATAATTTTATCAAATTAAAACATCAGTAATGAAGAAAATAAGAATAAAATAGGATATGTAAAATCAAGGTACCTTTGATCAGGAAAAAATGAATGAAATATATTTAAATTCCTAGGTGAGGTTCATTCAGATAATCCTCGGATTGACCTGTGATTGGCTAGGTTTCCGCTACTATAGTGAAGTATTTCAGGTAACTTGAAAAGAATAGAAACTTTATTTTGGCTCACAGTTTCTGAAGTTTCACTCTATGGTTAATTCATACTATATTATCTTCTGGCCTTTGTTACATAGAACTATGTAAAAATGGGTAAAAAGGAAGCTGCCTACCTCTAAGAAGCCTAGACAGCAAACCCTGGAAAGAGGGTGGAGCCTCAGTATTCGGTTTTAGAGCATACTCCCTAGACCTAACTCTCTGCAACAAAGTCCGACAAATTTCTCAGTTGTACCAAACTTTTGACATGTATATCCAAGCTATATTCTAGGCTCTGTGCTGAAATGGGGGAGGCCACTGAATTAGAAAGGAGCAGAGCAAAAAGAAATGTGATAGGTCAGTGAGAGACTGTGGTAACTGAACAGGTGGTTCTACTTTAATAAAAAAAGATGTGATGAAGTGCTTACAGTGTATGGGTATCATGGAGATTGATAATTGAGTAAATACTCCTGACTAAACAAGTAGAAAAGAGAAAGATTATTGGAAGGTAACAAGTCTCTGTGTCTAAGTCTGTTTCCTTTATCACTTCTCGGGCTCTTTTCCTTCTGCTTATGTTAGTTTTTGTTTTACCTCCTTTTATTTTGTCTTACTATTATCCCTCACAAGCGGACTTCATTTTCTTTTTCAATTTGCAAAGCAGGAAGGGATTCGAGGGGAAGTGGAGGAACTGAAAAGAGTAGAGAGGGAAAAATTTAATTGGGATAAATTATAGAAGAAAAATATCTGTTTTGATAAAAGGGGAAATAGATGAAGAAGACAGTATCTTTTATGACAAATATAAAAACGAAAGGGATCAGGAGTGGTCTAATGAATAGTAATTAATCTGAACAAAGCCTAGGAAAGACCATAGGATTGACAGGGTAGAGACAAGTAAGACTTGGGAAGAGAATTCAAACATTAACAATGGGAGCAAATCTTATCCATAAAAGGTTAAAGTAATCTAAAACTTCAAGTTCAAGCCACTCAAAATTCTACCACAGATAGGGGAGTTGATCAGTCAGTTCCACTCTTGACTGAGAAACTGTTGGTAGCCTGTAGCAACTAGAGAAGAAAGAAACTTCCTTCTTTGAGGGTGTGGTCACAATGAGGTTCCCTGTTATCCAATGGATGGCTCCACACTGGTGGACATTAGGGGAGGCACCAATTGGAGTTAGTAGGTTATTCTAAACAAAATCGGGAAGAAAAGAGGAGGCAGTGAAAGAGGAGAGGGAGGAAGAGGAGGAAGAGAAGGAGGAGAAAAAGTAAAAGAAGCTAGGAGGAATTAGAAGGGGGAAAAGTGATGTGTACATAGTAATATTTCATTGCATACATGCATGGATATATGAGGAAAGTGATGTGTGTATGACACTATTTCATTGCATACATGCATGATGTATGACATTCTCAAATTATATATATGTGTGTGTGTGTGTGTGTGTGTGTGTGTGTGTGT